AGTGGGCTGGGAAACCCCTGGGGAGTCTGGGGCCTGCCCCCCACTGACCCCCCAGCCTGGCTCCCCCCCAGCGGGTGGAAAAGCTGCTGGAGACGATCGACCAGCTGTACCTGGAGTTCGCCAAGCGCGCCGCCCCCTTCAACAACTGGCTGGACGGCGCCAGCGAGGACCTGCAGGACATGTTCATCGTGCACAGCATCGAGGAGATCCAGGTGCGGGTGCGAGGACAGGGGTGGGCAGGTGGGCAGGAGCGCGGACGCCTGCATCCCCCTTTGACCCTGCGCCCCCCCCGCAGACCCTGATCACGGCGCACGAGCAGTTCAAGGCGACGCTACCCGAGGCCGACAAGGAGCGCGCGGCCATTGCTGGTATCCAGGCTGAGGTGCAGAAGATCGCGCAGACGTACGGCATCAAGCTCAGCGCCGGCAACCCCTACAGCGCCCTGTCCCACCTCGACATCGCCTCCAAGTGGGACACGGTGAGGCCCGGCACGGCTCGACATGCCACGGGCACAGCCCAACACACCCTGACATGACACATCATGGCCCAGCACACCATTGCGTGGCCCAACATGCCACAGCCCAACACGCCCTGACATGACACACCACAGCCCCTGCTCTGTGCATGCACCCCCTCCCCCACCCCCCCAGTACACTTATTAAAAAAGGGAGCCGCCAGGGGTATGCTTATTTTTAAAAGTTTACAACCCCTGTTCTAAAGCACTTGAGTGAGTGAACAAATGCTGGAAATTAAGCGTAGACCTTTCACGAACTTCATTGGGTTAAATCAGGAACTCAGTTGAAGCTACTAAGCAACATATGAGAATACTTTGAGTTCCAGCATTAAAAGAAAGAGAACAAAATATGAATTTCTTCTGGTTTGAAAAAAGTTGCAGAAAGACTACCCATACCCTTACCAGCTGTGCTAAAATTGAGAATTTAAACTCTTCCTTCCTTTCAAATCTAACTGGGTCCAATGGGAGTTACTTGCATCACTTTCCATTTGAAAAATTACAAATGCTGCATATTCCGCACTTATGCTGTATGCTGTCTGGTTGACTATGCACTTACTCCACCTATTCTTCATAGCTGTAAAAGCACATGTAAGTTTACATCTGATTCAGTATGGCATATGCATCCAATTATCAGCAATTATGCAAATGTGCCTATTTCCGTTTAGCCATACACATCCTGTAAGGGAATGTGAAACATGGAATTATCTATTTCTCCCACATTCCTATTTCTGTATCTCTCCCCATCCTTTTTTTCCACTTGTTTGTCTTTCTCTGCTCCTTGAAGAAAGTCAAGTCACACCAAAGAGCAGACATTTATGAGCCAGCAGATTCATATTTTTGCTACCAAACAGCAGTACTTTCCTGGAGGTACTGGGAGCAGCTGTTTGAAACATCCCTGCCACATCCTAATCCATTTTGAATTATGGCAGCTGCCTCCAGGTGAGCAGTGCTGCTGGCATGCAGAAGCAACTTGTTTCTTAGTGGTGATTGATAAATGTACTAAATATTCCCTTTCTTCACTTTCTCTTTCTCACTTCCTTTACTTTCTCCACATCTGGAGGCATTTGATATGACATTTAAATTTATAGTAAGGTCTACAGGGATGGATCTAAAGGGGGTGCAGCAGCATGGTCTCGCCACCCTTTGGCTGTGGGCCACATGCTGGCCTGTCAGCACAACTCCTGACGGGAGCTCCACATGTGCCATGAGCTCTGAGCTTTTCAGCTGGTTGGTGAAGGGCGTGCCTGGATCCCCTGTTTGCACACAGCTCCACCACCGCTGCTCATCCCTTTTTCTCCTGCTGCTGAATTCTGATGGAGTGGAGGCAGGAGGATGGGAAAGAGTGAACATCAGTGTTCAAAGTCTGGACTCTGGAGCTGTGTGCAAAGTTGGGACTCCAGACAGACCTTGTATCACCCTGTCAGTGAGCTCATAGAGCTCACACTGGATGCAGAGCTCCCAGCAGGAGTTGTGCTGATGTGCCGCTGAGCTTAAAGAGCTTACTGGTATCCAAGGATCTTCGAGGGGGGGATGTGGTGACACTGCTTTTGGTTGTATGGCAGATGGACAGTGAGCCATCTTCACTGCATATGTGCCACATTGCTCAAGGGGGTGTGGCCACACCCCCGTTGCCACAATCCTGGATCTGCTTGTGGGTGTACAGATGGAAAAATCCACATGGTCATACAAGTCAATATAACAGACCACATAAGAGAAGTTGTATGCTACTTCAAGCATCAGTGTAGGTAGTGTGAAACCTACTGAGCAATAGTAATGTCACTGAGCTACTAAGCTCCTATATCTATGGCAAAAAGTATTCAGAATTATTGTATACATGCTTTTATAATATGAAAGACCCTCTTGCCTTTGTGGCAGGCTATCACAGTCTTCACAGATTTTCCTTATTGTAGAATTATTTTTTTCATACTGATTACTTTTTTGTACTGTAATAGGTTCCAGCCATTTGATGCTTAACATAATTCATTATTTCCAACCTTTCTCTGAAGTAGCCTTAATGTACGCTATAGGTTTAACTTTTCTTACATGACTAACATTGGTAAAGAGGAATGTCTAAGGTCTTACTGGTATACGAAAAAGAATGGTGACAATGTGCACAATCGTCACAATATTTTCATCAAAAGAAAGACCATTCCAACTTTATATACTCTTAAAGGCCTTTGCCACATTATTTATCATATCTTATTCTTATTTGCATACCACTGAGTTTACATTCTAGTTGCATATGTACAACATGAAGGTATTCTACTTTCAACTAGGTGGCTGCACTACTATCCCAGAGTCTAACTTGGAGGAAAGAACAGCTGTACAGGACCCCACACCAATATTTACCGACCACAAGCACCTTACAAAGCAGAAATCCAAACCTGGTAAGAACTAAAATTATTCTTTCACACTTCAAATACAAAGCAAATGTATTCAGGGCTTTGTGTGTGCACCATGGAGGTTCACTGAAAGAGGCATTTCCAACTTTGTTGGTTTTTTTGCTAGGTAGTGACAGTACTTTTCTAAGATTACTGTTCCATTTTTCCTGGTTCAGTTGCATTTTATAACTTTATAGGATTCTCTAATTATTCAGGATTTTTTCCCAAAGCATTTCCTTGAGGAATTCCAGAAAATTGTCAGTGTAGAGTTATCTAGCTGAAGTGAACAACTTACCCTCTGAAAATCTGTTGATATGCCAAGTACGTATGAGGTAGCTGAAAACTTTAATCTGATCTCTTCCTCAGCTAAAGATTAGGTAGAGATGAAGGTTGGATATTTCTTGTTAATAAACAAATTTTTAATCAACTAGTACAAGTTGATTCAAATATGGTCATTTATTGGTGGAAAATACGGTCATTTCCTATGGTAATTTAAAGATTTCCTAAAATTTCAGAACAATACGATTTTATTTCTAATAAAACAGTATTCTATTGGATACAAAATATAGTATATACAGCCAAGACATATTTTCTGAAAGTACTAAAAAACTGACACCTTATGCAGTTACAGAAACAGGTGAATTGTGTGCAAAATGCATACTTGTATTTATTTATTTGGAAACGCATATAGCTGCTTGCATGTCCAACTACACGACTGTATATTTTGTATATATGTTCACTTGTGATAGGTAGAAGGCAGGGTAGTGTGACCCCTTCCTGATTCATTTAGTCTCTAAGGACAACTTTTACATGTGCTCTGGAGTGGGGGGTGAAACCTTTAATTATAGGAGCTCTCAGGAGCCGCTCTAATTAAAGTGCCTGCAGTGTCTTGTGTATTCACAGCACAGTGTCCTGTGCTTCAGAATGGCAGTGGGGGCATTTTGAAGCTTGGTTGATTTTGAAGCACGGGGATGCTGTATACATGTGATGCCAAAGCTGCTGGAGTATATTAATCAACATGCTCCAGGAGACTCAATTTATCAAGTCTGCTCTTATGTGCGCTAATTAGCATGCTTTGCAGCAGGCATCGGGCACATGTGTAGGTGCCATAAGGTGCCACCCTGCCCAGACTTCAGACTTACATGGTTAACCTCCTTTCTTATAGTATAACTGCTATTTGCACCTTGACTTAGTTTCTTTGGCAAATAGGTCCAGAGGGAAGATGCAGCAGTATAAATTGAGTTAAAAGTGAATGATGCAGAGCAGGGGTCCTGCATGTAAATCAGCTTAAACAACTATCTTAATTTAATTATACATAATGTGTTGGGAGCATTATTTAATTACACAGCTCCAGAGAGAGCAATCCAAGAAATAAGCAGCAATGTTCCTTTCACTAGCCCAGGACTAATAGGAAGAGGATCGTGGGGAAAATATATACAGCTTATTTGATCAGACAGAACTCCTGAATAGAATAAGCAAAGGTTGCATCAATTTGGCCTGGATTTGGTATAAGAAATTTAAATGACTGTTTTTGTTGTTGTTGCTGTTTTAAATGTAGCCCTCTGCCTCAAAAAAATAATTGATTTTTATTAGTAGTCTTGGCAAAAAGCTTTCAGCTGGTACTGTTCTACAGCACTCTGATCTCCAAAATGAATAGCAGATATCACATCACGATGGCACCAAGAAAAGTCTGTAGAAGGTCTTAGTGGGTCAGAGAGGCAGAACACCTGCCTTCACCATTGACTCCAGAGCAGAAGGGAAAGGGACTCCATGGAGGCTGACAGACACATGATACAACTTCTGTAAGCTATGCATTACTTTCCTTCTGGATCCCAGAGATCTTGAAGAAATACATCAGATCTCCAAAATATAGACTCTCAGGCCTGATACATTTCCAACTTCCCTGTTAGATGGCTATAACAACAAATCTAGGATGTGTACTCAGTTATCACTCCTCTCTGTCTGTTGTTCCATTTTTGCAATCACACATGTGTTGTTGAATGCAAAAGGTTGTGCTTGCTATGTGTTTGAATGAATAACATTCTTGTATGTTCAGGTAACTTGATTGATGATAAGATTAGAGCAGACAAGCAGAGCACATAGATACCCACAACTGGTAACTCAGTGTTTTACATGTCCTATTGTGAGTTCTAACCTCTGATAAAAATTCAAACTTACATCCTTCTGCTGGCTATAGTGTATTCTTTGTGATATTCTGTATAAGGTGGGCAGTGAATAAAAAAAAAATCAAATGAAAATTCTGAAAGTTTTCAGTTACCCTGTAGGTTAATAACCATGTGTTATACCAATGAACTTTATTCATTCACAGTAAGAACTGACTTGTAGGTGCCAGTTAGTGCTGCATTAGCAAGCTTAAATTATCTGCCACTGAGCTGTCTGGAAATCCTAAGTGCTCTAAGTGCAAGAGCCAGGGGAGCTGCTTAAACCATAAGGTAACATGAAAGAATGAAATCACAGTGTAGAAATGTTGTTCTGCACATGATTTTTTTGGATTGTGTTCTAGCCCAACCATCAGACTGTGGCAAGAATAAGGTGACAAATAAGACTTGTATTATCTTCTGTTATTTGGGATATTATATTTAGTTTGTATGACTAATGCTAGTCTCCAAAAGTAAAAAGAGAAAGGAAGGAGAGGAAAATCCTTTAATTCAACTGTGTATTTTTCTGTTTCTTTAAAAGAACCAAAGATAAATAGTTAAGCTAACTTTAGGTGTTGTATTTTTTTCTTGGAGATTTGTTTGCCCACTAGCTGTAAGGACAACACAAGTGACAGTAAAGAACAGTATTAATTTCACACAAATTTCTGTTCTGTGCATTTGACAAACATTTTCTATTAACATATGAACTCAGTTTTCATAGATCCTTATCATAACAAGGTGTCTAATAATGGAGGCTGCAGGACCAAATGTTTATAATGAAAGGATTGAAAACAAGCATCTCTTCTGCATTAAATTGGAGCAAACAGTGGTATAGCGCCCAAACTCTCTACGCAAGGAAGCCTAAGGCAACTGTTTGCAGTAACAGCTGGAACTTGGAAGTGAAGGTGGTGCTGAAAGGACCAAATAAGTGCTTTATTGACGACCTTAAATCTTATGCAGAATCCAGCTTCTGACCATGAAACTGAGTTGTTATGCTTACTCCACCCGAAACTACATAGGATCTTAGCACCAGCATTTTGTACTGGTTGAGATCTCCTAATTGTATGTACTCGGTGTCCAACAGAACATGGGCAGTGCTGGTTTCTGAAAGGGAGCCCTAGTTCTACGTCAGGTAAAAATGAAGTCATATATATCCAGGTATAAACTGCTAGATTGAAACAAAGCTGAAGCGTAAAGAGACAAAACCAATGTTTGGAAGTGAACTAGAGAAAATGAGTGACCATATCCAGTGAAAAAGAAAGTCGCAGGTGTTTTCTATAAGATAATAAATTAACCTGCAGCATCTATTATTCCCAGAGGCACTGAATATTAATGTTAATCTTTCACTCAAATGCAGTAACCAAAACCCCAGGTTAAATAACATTATTAATGTTGCCAAGGCAAGCACTCAGAAGTTAAGAAGTGCCAATAAATTTGCTTGTGCAGACTTGCTCCCACCCCTCAGACATGGAATGTTTTATGATAGTCTTTAATTAGGTCTCTAGTTCCCAGTCCCATTTTCCTTACTCAGTGAATCTTACCTAGACCTTTTCAGCCTCCCAACTACCTGCCTAGCCATTCCTAGTCTTCTGTCCTTATCTCCCAGGCATAGTTTCTCTTTCCTTCCACCAGTCATAGTCTTGCCATAGATGACTTCTTGTAGTTTACTCCTTCCCCTGCTCCTGGTTTGTCTTCTGTTCCATTTGTGTTTAGTCCTTCTCAACTTGCCTGGGTGCAGAGGGATCATTGAGTGTACTTGAAACACTTGAATGCTCTGAATTCTGGTGTCCAACCCATCCTGATTTAGGATTTGCTGTAGTTCTGAGCTGGAATATGTTCATTTGTACTTTGGGATGGTGTGCATGCAGTCTGGTTAAAAACACAAAACAAAACAAAAAAACTGAGAGATGTGTGAGGGGATGAAGCATACTTGAAAGACAGCATTTTAGGAGTGTTTAATACTTAAGCTTTTTCAGTGTATACTAAGCATGTATGAACTATGAGGGTTTTTTTCTACAGTTTTTAACTTTGCAATATTTAGTAGTTTTTCACTGGAATGGGAAAAGTACATGTCTGACACCCAGGCACAAACGTAATTTCTTGTGCCTAATTCTCAGTCCCTGCTCTTAAGTGTTTGGGATTGATGGTAAATTTCAAACAAAAGATGTCAAGAACTTATTAACATGGACAAAAGAATATGTTTTCTTTAGCTTTGTTTTAGGGAATTGCTGGACCATTTTGACTAATTTTTTTTTTTTAAATAACAATAATAATTGTTATTCAGCTGGAGGCAGCTATTTTTCATATTCAGCCAGAGGCAGATGCCCAGCATAAAATTTCAGCCTGAATTGATATAGTTTTGTTTAGCAATGTAGTCCATTCTTTTTACTGAACAAGAGTCTTGAAGCCAGCCCATTCCTGTTTCACAATATGGGCCCTTTATAGAAAGGTGAAATTTGGAACATGCAGCAGACAAGATAGAGCATAGAGGGCCAGATGTTAATTTGGATCAAGATAAAAAGGCCACAGATTAGGAAAGTAGGAAGTCCTGGATTTGATTGTTTGAAAGAAAAAAAACAGGGATGAGCTGTCCTATACAGAGAATTCTTGCTAGCTTATAGATGGAGTGCTTGGGGCTGTAAGTTTGTAGTTATCAGGAGAATGGGCCAAGAACATTGGCGTGCAGAGTAACGTTGCTGAAAGAAAACCGTAAAAGATACAGGGATAGGAACCATGCACCAAGAGGAGTGAGCAAAGGTTTATAAGAACCTACAACAGGATCTTATAGAGGGAAGAAAGGCAACCTTACTAGGCAACGCTGTCAACCCTAATTAGGATGTCTTTGGC